TCTTCTTTTATTTCATGAAAAATACAAGATTCTTCATAAACATAATGAATATGTGTTATTACTATTTAATAGTAAGTAATAACAGTAGTGGTATTACTGTTTATCTTTAATACTTGGGATTGACTGAAACTAAAGCAAAGTAGCAGTTTGGAAGTTACACTTGAGAGTCCCACATTTGGTTAAACTGCTCTATATGGACAAGTAGCAAATGTTCTCCATGTATTTTCAGTTCTGAGGTTCATAAAGGAAAATGTATGCCAAATACTCCTTATAGTCAAAGTGTGCTATCTCTAGTGATTTTCTAGAGTAATTCTGAGGAGTTTTACTTTTTTCATCTGAAAAATGGCTCAGCTGGGATGCCCTTTTTGGTATTTGCCTTTTTGCTATATGTTTTCTTCATAGCAGCATTCGTTCAGTACATGGAGGCAGGGTAGATGCTGGGGATGTTATTTATTGTTTCTCTCTTCTCATCCTATATGACCGATAGGGACAGTGTTGATAGTAGTTGACTTTACTACATTTAAAGTAGGATCTTCTCTCTGAGTGAAAATCTCATCATATTCCTGACTGCACTTTGCCTGCTTTTCAGCTTGGACACCAAAATGACAGAACGAAAGCTTTTAATTCCCTTATTTGCCCACCTTTTCCTTCATTATTTTTAAGCTGTAGTGATTGGCTTTTTAACTCTGAAGGCCCAGTAAAAATCAGGACTGTTTTACTGTGCTCGTAAATAATTATTTACAGAAGTGTGAAATGTCCATCATTTGACCCTTAAAAATGGGTCTCTTTGGAAACTAATACATATAAAATAAACTTGCTCTGCGTGGATGTGTGATCTCCTTGTCCATCCCTGTGTTGCAAACCTGGCCCAGAAGGGACCCTTCTCAGGATCAAGTAGCCGCTCATTTCTAGATGTTCCTTAGCTTGGTGGCTCAGCCACATGAAGATGAGTTGTGGTGTAGCCTGATCCACTAGACTCTTCCTATGATACCCCAGAGTCCCCCTCGCAGCAAGTTTGAGTCCTTTCTGACTACATCTGGCTTTCATGAACCAATGGTTTACCAGGGAATGAACTCCTTACTTACGTAATTCCCTGTGGCCTGTGGAGGCTGGGACATACGTTATTTCCAGCTCTTCCATTACACACGGATGCTGTTGTGTCAAGTTAACCCGGCATGAACAGCAGCCGCTACTGGTGGGTTTTCCTCCAGAAGTGTAGACCACTGTTCACAGCAGTGGATGTTCTAGAGCATTCCTGTGGTCCCATCGGCTTGATGCACAGTACTGAAATGTGCTTTTTTTTTAATAAAAAAAAAAGAGTTAGGTATCCCCCATTCAGATGTTAGTCTTTATCACAGAGACACTGCTGTCTTTTGGGTACTTTTGTACAGCTTGTAGTTCAGTGGAAGAGTTGTTTGTTATGGCTTCTGGCTCTTAGGAAATTTAACAATTCAAAAGAGGTTGATAAACTTTAAAAATGTTTTGTCTAAGTATCTGGCTTAAAACATGTGAAAATGCTTTAGCATGACTGGGGAATAAAAAAAAAAGTATGGAAATATAAGTTTGAATTTTATTTCTGTGAACTTAGCCTAGCTTGTTGAGAAATGCTTGGTTTGGAAAATGAGCGTTGTGGTTAGGGAATGCAAAGGAGAGAGGTCTTCCCAAGGCTGAATTGTCTCGCCTCTTGGAGAGCTTTCCCAAAAGCAATGCTAATGAAATCACCTCCTTCAAAGAAAGACTGGGCTTCTCAGGGCTAGTTCTTAWGCACAGAATACCTAGCACAGATGAGGAAGGGAAAACTCAGCCATCCCCTGTAGACTCTCAAAGGTGAAGTTTGAACATGCTAAGAAGAGACTGAGAAGTAATAAGGAGGAGGAGACACTTGGCTCCTTCCCAGTCTGAGGTACTTCTGTCCGCCTSTCTTGCTGGAGCCATTTGGACCACAGACATAGAAAACTGGTGCCTGAAGTTAGGCTGCTGCACGWCTTACCTGCTGGGGTTTTCCAGCTCATCCTCCTTTCCCACTCTTCCAAAATGCGGTGAACCAGAATTTGCTATTAAAGTAAGTGTCTTCTGTATGTTCTGCAAATTAATGATTACATTTCTAAGGACATAAGCTTATTTTTATCTTCCTTAATTCTGGGGGTTGTTGTTTTGTTTTAATAACAACTCAGGTTTTCTTTGCTGGACTATGGCTGCAGTTCAGCAGCTGTTAGGACAGGATGCCTCCCTGCCTCGCTGGACTCTTGCTCTTGTTTTCTTGCAGCATAAGCACCCTTGACTAAGCACTCAGCCCTCTCCTGCTTTTACCAGGCACTTTTATTCTAGTTGATTGCTTACAATTGTGTTGCTTTTTAAACTACTCTTCATCTTCATCTCTCCTTCCCCCAGCATTTATATAAATATATCATTTCTGAGCTTGTGTTTTTCAGKGACATTTTTATTTTGTTTTATTTTATTGTATTTTAAAGCCCTGGCACTCATTGGAGCTAGAGAAACTCTAGAATAGTTTACCAGTTCTTTTGGGTTACTGATTTGTGTTAATACTGTCTACCTTTGCACATGTTCTCACATGAACTTTACAGGACTGTTTTAGCAGTTTTTCTACTGAAAATGAACTATTTCAGTAATGCTGTTTTTCAGGATTCAAGGGACACACTGAGCAGCCAAAGYTTGCACATCAGGAGCATGTGGGCAAATGCACCTAGGCAAAATCTTCCTAGTTTGGTACTGCAATGCTGGGATACATTTATTTATTTAGAATACAGTCAACCAAGATAATTTGGAATATAATTGAAGTAAAAAGCATAGAAAGTAAAGAGTTGTTTGGGGAATTTTTTTTTTCCCTTCTACAGATGCTGTCTGTTCTTTGCTTGTTGTATGGCCATGGAATTATACCAAAGAAAGGAATACGATGCCTAGCTTTTAACTAAAACAAATGCAGTCATCTTTATGTCTATATTCTGTCTCCATCAGATGTATTTGTGTAACCAGACCTGACTTTACATAATTAACTAAATGTCCACTTCCTTCTCCGAGTCCTGTCTGAAGTGTATTTGTAAAACCCTGCATCAAGTACTAGTGTATTAYATAAAGAGCTGTTTGTTTACATTTTTTTAATTTGAGATAATATTTAAATATTAAAGACTATAACTTATAAATGTAGCATGTTGTTCCTGTTATGTAAATTCTGATTATGCTCAAAGCCTTTTATTTTCAATATCTATGTATGTGCATATAAGAGGTAGGCTACTTGTACAGATAGAGACTTTGAGCAGGAGAACTTGCTGTGAAGTTTTAATTTTCTGTTAAATGTTGTATAAGACAATATGGAAGTGTTACGAATGATGTAGGAGAGCATGAGGATAATTTGCACTCTCCCTGTAATACAGACTCCATAGCTGGTCGGACAGCTAGTATTGAAAATAACATAAATAATCATCAGGTTTCAGATAAATGCAAGCTAAGGTAGGGCATTAAAGTGAACTGTCTTTAGTTAAACAGAGGGTGATAGTCTGTACCCTAAAGAGTTTATATCCAAGTTAAGAGTGGCTGGGGTGAGCAGAGCCCACGAGCTGCTGGTGGTGGTCTGTGCTGCACACTGGGCAAGAGGGGATCTGCTGGGCACCTCACTCTGCCTGTACCGTGGGTGCTGATGAGCTGGTAATTTCTCATGGCTAATTTTGCCTGCATGTAGATAGCTTGAGTTGCATGCTGTTTTGACTGCTGAATTAGAAAGGGGGTTTTCTTGTTTTCTTTTTTTTTTTTTTTGAAGAGCTTCCTCCATCCTGGTATTTGTTTTCTTTTGTTAGGGAGTAAAGAAGCAGTATCTAGTCTGGGTAGACCGGTTTTAGGTGATTGACTTGAATTTTTTCAAGCGATGCTCCTGAACTGGCAGCAGACATTTTGGCAGGTTGAGGTTGGAGACTGCGACCTCAAAACTTCTGTCTAGACCATCCTTTCTCTCATTTTTTGAGATGTCTTTTTCTAAGCATAGGTTGTGTTCTGTGGGCTCTTTGAGACTGCATGGCACTCCATAACTCAAAGTATTTGCTTTTATGCAAAGCAGATATATCTTATCGGATATATCTTATCACTTAACAGAGATATCTGTGAAGCCCTCTTTGCTTTCTGTCTTATAGGATCCTTCTTCAGGCCAGGAGCACTGCAGATGGGCAGGAACTCTTGGCTCTCTCCTATAGATCTTTGAAATTTTGAGGCAATACTTGATAACGGTGCAGTTTACATTTCGGAATAACTTTCCATTATTGCTTAAGTTGAGACTGATGGGGTAAAACAGACCTAACATGTTGCACAAGATGGACAAAGCCTGTAGAAGGAGATGGGGCTGGTGTTTCTCTCTGAAAGCTCCTGGAAGTCCTTCGTTCCTCCCTTCAACAGAGCTTTTCTTTGTCATGAAGCCATCTTGAGAACATCCCAAGTCTGTCACCTCCTTGGCATTTCTCCTTTTGCACCTGCAGTGGCTGGAGCTGACTGGCCAGGTGAGCAGAGAGGCTACGAAGGGACCGTAGCTCACATCTTCATCCTCTGGTTCTTTGACTGGCTTCAGACTCCTTCAAAGCTATAGTAATCGAATCAGTGACTGCGCCCATACAGGAACCAGCTCCATTTAATCTAGTTAAGTGTTTTCTGCTCATCCCTGAAATTCCTCGTTTCCGGGCCAAGTGCACGGGGGTGGGCTTTTCTGGAGGTTTAGCATCTTGATCGACAGCTTTCCGCTGCCTTCAGCTCTCCAAAGCGAAAGGGCGGTGCATATGTCGCGAGCTGTTGGACAGATTGTGCTGCAGAAAATCACCATGTTGGAGGAACAAATGTTTTATTCTTTCCTGCCTTTTTCCTGGGGCTTGTTGCTGGGATTGTGATACTCGCTACCCGTCTCCTTGCACTTAAATTTTTGAGTCTCGGGGTACTTTTTGCAGCCCCACTGGACAGAAAAGCCGCCCTGTTATGAAAATGGTAACAAAATGTTTTGGTTATTCTCTTTGCGTGAAGAAGGAAATTTGTTTTGTGGCTCTACCAGTGTTACTGCAGGTAAGTGGGGTTGTTTTTATTTTTAATTTATTTCAATGTACTTATTATTTACCTCTGCAAAATCCCCAGAAGGGTTTAGGAGCTTGAAGCAGAGAATGTTTAAACACTTGGGTGTAAAAATTGCCAACTCCCGTCTGCTTGTGATGTGACCCTGGAAGCATCTCCAGAGGCGCCACCAACTTCTTAAGTGTCGGAAGGTTTGGTTTTGCTTTTGTACCTATCGAGGGGCAGCAGGACAGCTCAGGGTCCTTCTGGCACCAGGCTCCATCAGCACCCAGAAACAGGGCACCCTTTTGCCTCAAAAAAAGCCACCCAATATCAGCTATCAGAAAAATGAACGTACTCACCGCGAACGGGAGCGTTCTGCAGATCGTCATGGCAGCCACTGAACCAGGAGAATAGGGATGGACGGGGATAAAAATTGCTGTGATTGCTGCCAGTATCACCGAAAATCTCACCAGCTGTTGCCTAACCATGGAGGAAGGGGTCTCAGTCCAATACCTTTCTCTTCCTGTGGGTTTTAAACCTATATTTCAACCTGCATTTCCTGCAGGTGAGGAAAGTGGCCTCACTATTAGAATATAAGTTATTGATCTGTATAATTCAATTTGTATGTCTTTCTTTTTTCTTTTCAGTGCTCCTCTTGTTCAATATAAATCCCCCAAATTTAATCTGTTTAATTTTTTTGATACGTAGATGTAGCTTCATTAAACATTTATATTCTTGTCTCTGTCCCTTCTATTCTGGGATGATTTATCTGATGTAGCTTCGTATTTGTTATAATGAATTGATATTTCATTGCAGAGACCTCTGCGTGGTTACAATCCTTATCTTCGCTGTCTCATTCAAGACTGATTTGACTAAACTAAAGCTATTTTAATCTCCTGGTCCCAAAATAGAAGCCATTCCATTTTGTGCTCTAGAAAATGGCCGCTCGATGATCTTGGCGTGTGCTTTGAGCAAAATCTACTGACTGTTTGTTTATCAGAGTCATTTCTTGCTGCTTCTTCCTGTGGTCCTTTTGGGTCGCACGTCCCTGTTTCAACAGTGGTGCCATTTGTGGGGATGAGAGTCACCTACGGCCTGTCCTGAGGGGCTGGTCTCGGCCTTGCCGACTCTCTTCATGGTTCCTCCTTCCTTGCCTTCCTTCACTCGCTGGTGCCTCATTGCTYGAGACCCCTGAGTCTTCACAGGCACCTATGGTCAGAGGGGGCAACGTAGTGATTCCTCCTCCTGATTTTTGTCCCGGTCTCTTAGTGTTTTTCGTAAAGAAGCATGTCCTTAAGGGAGACACCCGCGCCTGAAGTGGGGACTGTAATTAGAGCCGGGAGCCCCGTTACCGTGGAAACGTCGCACGGCACAAACATGGAGCCCAAGTTACACAAGTTATTAATTTTCCCAAACAGCCCCCGTTCACCAGGATGAAGCAGGGCTTTRTTGCTCAACCTGCAAAGAAGCCTCCCTTCAGAAAAATGACACGTTAAAACCCTTAAGCCCGAAATGCCCAGGTGTGTAAGCACAAGTGTGGCCTTTGCGAGGCTGGTGTCCTGTCAACATCTGGCACCCCACTAACCTTGGCTGGGTGGGCCAAGGTGGGCCATGGTAAACAGAAAGACAAGCACCGAGGGGAAGAAATGGCTTTATAAGTGAGCCCAGCGCTGCTGAATTGTGGTTCAGTTCTGAACAAGGAACAAATTTGGTGTTTTGCCACATTTTTTTTCCAACTTGAATGCAAAAATATCTGTCATTCTGTTGAATGATTTGAAAACTATAGAAAACAAAGTTGACTGTCAGCACAAAACCAGACGTACTGGATTATCAGGATTCAGTGAAAGCATTGCTGTTACATTAACCGAAGACTGTCAGTGTAATTGATGTATTCTTCCCATCTCTGTTTTATTTTTCTCTCTTTGAGCTACCAGATGTCATCTTTTGACATCATAGCACTTAGTTTTGTTTGTGCTTTCAAAAGAAAGGTGCTAACAGGATTATTTTTTTATATCAACTTTTACTAGAGGCAAAGCTAGATTTTTTTTTTTGCATTTGAAGACATAAAAACCCTTAAATATCTGAATAATTAACATGCCTATTATAAAGTCAGTACCAGTTGCTAGGTCTGCTTCACTTGTTTGCTGCACAGTTTTAATTTTAAAACAGAGATTGTATCTAATGAGCTAGGTCATGCCTATTGGAAGATGTGAGTAATACTCTTTCCCTCTAGTACTATATGTCAGTTACTTATTCTCATCATGTTTTTTATTATGGAAAGTTTCTGCTGCCTTTTAATAGTCCACTCAAACTATCATCTGCTTCTTAAAACAGTTATGAAACATCCAGTAATACTGTAGTTCCTGGGAAGGGTGATGGATTGGGAACTAAGGACTGATTTTTAGTTTGGTTATGATGTAGATTTAAGCAATGCCTGTAACCACATCTTGGTGTTGTCTTATATACCTTGTGTTAATCCACTCCATCTGGCTGCTAAAAGATTATCAACTTTATCATTATCAACTTGAGCATTTGGATGGGGCAGAGGAATATGGAGACCATAAGGTTCATCCTACTCAGCTTTGGTACTTGGATGTCATGGAAATAAGGGTGTAGTGGAAGACAGAGCAGACCTCAGAAGTCCTGAACCGTTAAAGTTAACATCATCCAAGATGACAACTGTACTATCATTTGGAATTGTGAACAGATTTAAAAGTGCAGTTATGCATTATCTTGCAAGTATGTCTGACTAACTGATCAGGAAATCACTGCATGCAGGCCTGTGAGAAGCCTTCTCAGTATTTTTATAGATGTTACAACTTTTTATATATGGTTGTTATGACTTCTTTGCCTGCTCCTCCCTTCCCCTCACCACTGCCGAAAGGTAAGCGCTGACACATCCCTATGCTGTTGACAGGACACAAAACTTAGAGCCATCGGAGATGAGATGATCCAGCCAGCATGTAGTGGGCTTGAAGTGAGAGGAAATAAAAGCAGTTTGTTTTTGCACCTTCACTATGTTGAAATTGGACATTGATTCATTGGTTAGATAACATCTCACCTACTGAGAAAATGTCCATTCTGGCATAAATAATTGCAAGCCACAGAAGTGAGATCTGCATCCCATCTGTTTTTGAGGCCCGCTGGAGAACAGCGAAGGAGCAGTGGTGCCATTCATTAAAGGGTGTTCTTTTACTCTCTGCTTTTGGTTGAGGAAAATGCATAGAGGAGTAAACCAATTTTAACTCTATACTAAAAGTAGTTTTAAGAGGATTCTGTTGATAGGATGGGTATTTTCTTTAGTTGTTTACTTCTGGGATACTGTTAGATTTGTTGTACAAGTTTTAACAGTCGTTCAAAGGAATCTACCTCTCATTTAATACAGAGATTTAGAAATCTCTCACAGTACTGACTGCAAAATGCATATTTCCATTAACTTTTATCTGCAATGAGTTAACACAAAGGTTTAGCTATAATTTTGCTTGGTTGTGTGTTCTATAGTAACTATCCAGAGGGAAGGAATAAAAATCATGAAACCGATTAGTTCAATCAATAACTCAGAACTACAGAARGCCTATGAATAAGGCCACCTTTTCCAAATGAAAATTGCTTTCATACATGCTTTAAATAAATAAATGCACAGTTGACTGTCCAGTCAGGCCCGGTTCCCAAGTGGATTGTGATTTAAAACTGAAAGCAGGGCACCACCTGCCCTGCTCTGTTTTTATAATGAGGTCCTGGGTAGGGAATTACATTGAGTTGAAAAACTGTCCTGTCTTTATTTTTTATTCTTCAGACTGTTCTCCCTTGTTTGTGGCTTTCCTGAGCTGATGTGGAGATGCTGATCTGCAGTCATGCTAGATACAGCAAGTAATAATATAAGGCATACATAAGGAGGGATAAAATAKCGTATTATAAATCGCAGCACTATGGTACTGTTTCAAGGATATGGTACCTATAAATTAGTGAAATTTAGATGCTACTTGCAATCCCATTTGTCACTGGYGATAAATATTGGGTTTGTGGGCTGTGTAAATCAGTAGGTATTTTGCATTGCAACAATCTGAAAAAGTCTTGGAATTAATAATTAAACAACTGTGCTGTGTAACCTATACAAATCCTAGCAACTAATTCTTCTGTTTTTGAATAGGTCTGCCCTACATGCAACACAGGAAACAAGGAAGCAGTGCTAAAGTGATTTTTTTTTTCCTTTGAATCTCCATGTTGTAATTAAGTGTTTGTTGCAGTGAGCATTGATAAAATGTTTGAACTATTTTTGGGGAAAAGAAGGGAACCAGCAGTTCCCTGGAGCTGGGGGGATCAGCCAGGCAGGACTCACTCTCCTAGAAGAGGCTCCACCAGAAGGGAAGCAGCAGTATCACAGAATGGTTGAGTTTGGAAGGAACCTCTGGAGATCACCCAGTCCAACCCCCTGCTCCAGCAGGGACACCCAGAGCACGGGGCACAGGTCGGCAGCCAGGCAGGTTGGGAAGATCTCCGGAGAAGGAGACTCCACAGCCTCCCTGGGCAGCCTGTTCCAGGGCTCTGGCACCCTCACAGGAAAGAAGTTCCTCATCACATCGAGATGGAACTGCCTGGGCTTCAACTTATACCCATTTCCCTTTGTCCTATCAGTGGCCATCACTGGGAAGAGTTTGGCCCCTTCCTCCCTACATTCTCCTCTCAGGTTCCTATAYRTATTGATCAGATCCCCTCTCAATCTTCTCTCGGCTAAACGCCAAGCTTACTTAGTCTCATACGATAGATGCTCCAGTCCCTTAATCATCTTTGTCACTCTACAATGGAGCCATTCTAGAAGTTCCACATCCAGTTTCCTTCCAACTGGTTGCATTAGGCCATGGACAGGTGTTCCTTGTGCCGATACTTCCTCAGTCGGAGATGTTGCAGCCAGTTTGTTSCTCCCTTGTACTGGGGTTACCACTCGCGCCGCTCCGCTGACGGAGAGGTTGCCAAGTGCTGTCAGATCCACTTCAGAAAAAGCGGTCAGGTTGGCTCGCAGCGTCYGTATGGATTGTATCTGCCAACAGGGTGCTGACTGCTCTGCCCAGCGGCCCGAGGCAATGTCACCAACGAGCAGAATGGATCTGATGGTGGCTGCCTGCCCGGGCCCTGAACTCGCAGCGTGTCTGCCAGCAGGGCCGGGCCTGGCGCTCGGCTCAAGGTTTCCTGGCTYTCTCAGCAGATCTGTAGGAACTTGGCTGTTGAGACATCCGTGTGTTGGCACTCGTAGGAACAGGTCTGTCTGCTCACATAGTGCGTCACCGGCACCGCCAGTAACGGCTTGTGTGTCACCGAATCACAGAGAGGTTGAGGTTGGAAGGGACCTCTAGAGATCATCCAGTSCAACCCCCTGCTCCAGCAGKGACACCCAGAGCACRGGGCACAGGGYGGCAGCCAGGYGGSTTTGGAAGATCTCCAGAGAAGGAGACTCCACAGCCTCCCTGGGCAGCCTGTGCCAGTGTTTCTTGTCATCTTGGTTACTTGGAGAAGGAGGAAGAGTCCCACTCTTGGCTAATTGGAGGAGGTGGACTGGCATTTGGACAACACCCTCTTAAAATGGCCTTCTTGGCTCATTCTGCACACCTTGGTCTGCTGCTGATGTCTTTTAGTCTTCCAGGTACACTTAGGTAAGATGCAGTGCACACCACATATTCTAACACCTGTGCTGATTTCTGTAGAGCCAGAAGTGGCCAAATGATTGAGTGAAGTCGCAGGTCACTGCAGCGTTTTTCCAGAACATTTATCCTGTGATTTATTTTGCGTTACATAAAGCTCAGCCGTTAGACCAGTCTCATTCCTTGTGCGTTAATCTAGGAGCATGAACGTGTAGCTGGGGAATTGCTGCTTGTGCACATGAGGGCCTGTGTAGTCTCCTTATCTGCTTTGCAATCTTGGAATCCTTACATAATATGTATAAGACTGTTCTTAAGTAATCTCTTTTGGGGTCTCCTTTTGCGTTCTTAGTCTCCACTAACAGAACTGATACGCTATTCCCTCCTAAAATCCTTTCCAGAAGGTACACGTTATCTACTACAAGACAGGGCAATGAAGAGCATCAATTTCCACAGCAGGACAGAATCCTGGATTACAAATTACTATTTAATCCTTTTTGCGTCAAAGGATATAATAATCCTTGTGAAATGTGCTCTAAGTCTTGTGCTTGGCTGTGCGAGGTTAATGGGTAAAACCCAAAACAGTGATTCTCTTAAAATGTAAGACATTGTGCAATCCATGTGTTCCACACAAATTTTAGAGGGTGTTTATGACTATATTTCAGCAGATAAAAACAAAATTGATGGGTCAGCACAAAGCCAAGCAGCTCTCACTTTCTGTACGCTTGCTCTGTTAGAATGTAAGTGAACCTTGTGACTGCTGCAAATTTAAATAAATAATATTGTTAAGTAATATTTATTTAAATAAATGATTTGGGCACAAAATAAGCATGACTTTTTTTTTTTTTACCCTCTTTCTCTGAGTTCATTTACCAAAATAAATAGAAGAACAGATCTCTTTGTGTAGGGTAACTTATTTTGTTTTCTGAGCCATTCTGTTGTGAACTTCAAGCAGTGTGATTTTTGTAAAGGAGAGAAGGATGGATCAAGTCAGAAAGGATAAGGATGAAGTGCTTGAAATGATAGGCTCATGCTTGCACGGTTTCTTGATCGTGAAACTATTTTAAGACAGGCAAGCTTTGACTCAAAATGAAGCACATAGTGAGAGACRTGCATTCCTGTGACTGACGTGATGGCAAACACATTAAACGTGCTGCACTTTTAATTGTGTTAGGTATAAAGAAAAACAGGGTGGTGGTTTAGAGGCAGTACTTCGTATGATTGCTTTATTCCATACTTTTATTTCTGGCCTCTGTACTAAATCAAATGTGTCACGTTGAGTAGAACCAGTTCCCCGCAGAGAAAACTCAAATGTAGGTTGCAGCTTACARCAATAATTAGGAGGGAAGAACAGGGCAAGCAATCATATTTGTTAGGGTTTTTTTTAAAGGTATTTAGACCTAAATGTGCAGTATTTTATGTTAATAGTCAGAATCTAACAAGAAAAGTAGAACCCGATTGCTGAATAAACTCATAATTGTGTATTAAAGGACACAATTAATCACTTGTTCATATAATCATTATTCCACAATGGAGTGGTTTTGTGCTAGACACAAATTGTTTGCTTCTCCTGAGATAGCAGAATGTGATACCCTTGCTTCTAATAACATGGTCATCTTGCAGGCAAAAACTATGGAGCAGAGCAGCTGCTACAGAGCAGTAAAACATTTCTCTTGTAAAATGAAATTGTACTTTGCAAACCTTTTCATAGCTCTCTTCTGAAAAAAAAATCAGAAAACAAAATCTGTTTTTTTCTTGATAAATTTCCTGCTTTGTGTTAAACTMATTTTTATTATTATTATTCTGTTGTTTGTTGCAGAAAATGACACATGATTAAAGAACAGTTGCTTCTTCCCTGCGATTTACAGGAGCAAATCTCTCCTGTATGAGGAAGAGGAATCTTCAACAGTCTTAGCTGGTRCAATGGGGACTACAAATGATGACATGGCTCTGGTGGAGCAAAATGCCTCCTTGAACCCTCTGTGCTTTGAGTGTGGCCAGCAGCACTGGACAAGGGAGAACCACTTGTACAACTACCAGAACGAAGTGGACGACGACCTGGTTTGCCACATTTGCCTTCAGCCCTTGTTGCAGCCGTTGGACACTCCCTGTGGACACACTTTCTGCTACAAGTGCCTAAGGAACTTTCTGCAGGAGAAGGATTTCTGCCCGCTGGATCGGAAAAGACTCCATTTTAAACTCTGCAAAAAATCCAGCATTCTCGTTCATAAACTGCTRGACAAGTTGTTTGTTTTATGCCCCTTTTCTGCGGTGTGTCAGGAGGTGATGCAGCGATGTGACCTGGCAGCACATCTCAAAAACAGGTGAGCTCATGGTGCCTCTGTCTTGCATGCTGGTTTCTGTAGCAATCTGAGTTGTGGTTTTGGGGGAAAAAATAGGAAAATATTATAGGAAATTGTARATGTGTAACAGCTCAGTTGGAGTACTGCTTCAGAGATCTGGACATCACAATCGAGAAGATTGGGAACACTTGGAGAGTCAGAGAGACCAGCAGGATTGATTAAATGTCAAGCAAATATGATTTAGGAGAAGAGGTTGAAGAAAATGGGTTTGTTTAGAGCAGAAAGGGGGAAAAGCCTGAGGGAGGAGAGAAGTAAAGAGGTCGTCAAACATGCAAACCATGTCTGCAAAGAGGAAGGAAAGAGTGTGTAGAAGCAAAGGAAATTTCATTCAGGTTTTAGGAAAAAAGCTTCAAAATGGTCAGACGTTGGCAAAGCTAGTTTGGGTGCAGGGAACGTGGTTGCACCCTCCTCACTTGTGCCCGTATTTAAGAACAGGTTCAACCAACTCCTGCCAGAAATCGTGCAAAACTCACTCTGCTTTGGGATAAGCAGATGGAATGGGTACCTCTTGAGACTCCTGCAAGACCTATTTTTCTTTTTATTCGAAAAAATGTGTTTGCTGAGCAGGTGTTGAATGCAGGTTACGTGAGCCTGCTCTTGTTCCTTCCTGGGATATGTTTGCTTGCTTATAGAACACTTCCAACCCCCTTTTCATCGGGAGAATTAAGAACCTGATCAATTGAGAGGACTGAAAGGTGTCAATGTAGCTACAGCGAGTGGTTTTGTGTCAGAGATGGGTTCCAGTGTCTCCTGCATCCTTGTTCCTGAGTGTCATTTGAGACCTGGAAGTGAAGCAAAGTTTGTGCCTGCATTTTGCTGTATATTATTATAAGTGTTGGAACTGCTTTTGTAATGTGAAAGTTACAGGRTTGTAAGAAACTGTAGGAGAACAGAGACAAGCATCACTGGGGGGAGTGCTGGAATAAAAACATGTGAGGGCCTTGGGTGTCAATCCTGTTTGACGCCTGTTTCAGACAGGTTTCTGTTCTAAATATTGGTGTAATAGGAGCCTTCATGATATTTGTCAAGATATTATAAAGCGTTGTGTATACACAAATGTTTAGGACCTGAGTTTGAACTGCTAATACTTTATAGTTCTTCTGTGTTGTGCCTTCATACCAATAATATATAAATCTTGGCATAGGRAAGGAAATAACATCAAATTCCATCTAAAGAATATTTTACATTGTGTAGACTGGTGCATTTTGGCTTTGTAGTGCAGGATGTTTCCTGTGGCGTGTGCAGTACTGCACTGTGTGAAGATGTTTCATTCTGCTATATAGAGCAGTGTCATTTTTGTCAGAACAAAACTTCAATTTGAGGGGTGTATTTGACTGGTTTTTTTTTTCAGTTCTTTAGAAGATATTCTCAGTGAATTTTTATTATTATTAGCTGATTTATTATGAATCATGAACAAAAACATGGACCTATTCTTTTATGTTAAAGCTAAAATGTGATAGAATGTATGAGTCGGAGCTGAAAAACATCATGCACATCTAGGCCAGCCAAGTCACTAACACATTTTTCAACCTTCTGGAGATGTAAGACATTATAAGATGAGTATAATAAAGAATTGTGTAGAGAAGGAAATTATATATTCAAGGAAAATGCATCTTACTTCAAAGGATCCAGTTCAAATGAGTTGCATCTGATAGTAGAAAACACTTCTCATGTACAGCTCAACATGATTTACTCATCTCTCTTTTGCCTTTAACTCAGGTGGTGTGCTGTGTTCAGCTGTGCCAAGGTGTGCTCATTTTGCAGGCAGAGCTCCCAGGGCMCTGAAGAGGTTTTCCTCTCCCCCTCAGATAAGCACTAACCGTGTCCCTCGCTAACGGGCAGTGCAGTGTCCTGCTCCCACCAGCATCTGCTGGTGACCCCTTCTCTGCAGGCAGCTCCCGTGGTTCAGAAGCAGCTTCATCGTTTCACATGGTCCTGCTGTCCAGCCCCAGGGCTGCTGTGACGAGCACTTGGACCAAAGCCCTGTGCCATCAGTCACCTTGAGCCGTCCCTGTGGTCACTCTTAGGGTGCGTGAGTCAGTGACACCATTGGGAGCCCCTCTGCTTCGGGTACGTGGGTTGAAAGATCGCGGGGACCACCAGGGTAGAGAGGTTGTGTCGGGAGATACTTGCAGCAGTGCTGAGATCTTCATTCCTAGTCTTGGTCTTTGCTTCCTAGTGTCGGTCTTTGCTCTTCTGGAGACCTTCTTCAGGTAAATGATGTTGCAGGGGAATCTCCTTGGGGTTGTGCCTGGTGTGGACGTGCACAGGGACAAGTGCTGCTCGGAGAAAGGGAGCACAACCACGTTCCCCTGGAGAGCTTTGCTCGTACGTGTGTTTCCAGCCCACCCTGCGCTTGCTGCAAGTCCCTAACATTTCATTTTGGCTTTATAATCCCAACATTAAACTGATTTAATTTTAATAAAAGGCATAATGCCAGTGATGTTCCTACTGTGCATTTGCTTCATCTTCTCGTTTGAGTGTTGTTTCCCTCACCTTTCCTGTCCATTTTCCTTGATCTCTGAGTGATATTAGGACTGTTTACATGAGGGCCGTATAATCTACTTGTACGTGGAACACTATGTGTACTCACTTTAGGTATATATGAAATATTCATTTGCCTAATGCACARTGTGTATTATAAAACCTGAGTGAGCTGAGTCAGTAGCTATTCCTGTCAGTATGAAAAAAGAAAGAAATAAATAAGAAGCTTTTAGTTGCAGGCTTTGTTTGTCTTGAATTCCTTCTGCTGTCGTGGGATGCCAATAAGCATTTTGAGTGCACCGTGATTTACAGGTCTCAGTTAAGTTTATTTGCAAACATCTGAACACCTGTAAATTACCATTGCTGACATAAAAGTTGACAGTATCCATGTAGTCTGAATTCGACTTCAAATGAATTAGTGAGTCCCATAAAATTATACTACCAATTATATTTCCTTCTAACATTTAATAACATTCAGTAGTCGTRTAATTTTCAGAATAGCTCAATATAAGCCACGTATAGTAAACACATGCACTAGCTCTCATTCCTTAGAAATGGAATATGATTCTTAAGKTTCACTGTTAAAAGGCATTCACAGAGTTTCAAGTGTTGTTGAAATGGACTCCATTTGAGCGTAAAAGCTGGGAGAAATGGCATAATATCCGTCAGGCCACTCCAGGTGAGGCTGCTGAGAGCTGCTCCAGCAAGAATTGAGGCCTGAGACACAAATTTGCTTATGGTGTCATCACATTTTGTACTCCACGTGCCCCTCARTGTTTAATGAAAACACCCCTGGTATTTTATCCAGTCTCTCAGTGTCATCAGATTCACTTGGGAACTGTGATTTCCAAAAGTTGAATGTAATACACATAATCTGACCTAAAGAGGAAAACAAAATGCTTGTATAATGTTGAGTTGTCCTGGTTTTCTTGATGATCTGTATGCAAGAGTCATTGGTACTTAACAGTGGGACAATCCTGCTTCTAAATATTGGAGGACATTTATTAAACACCCCCCTACCCCAGACTTTTATGGGGTTTGACTTTTCATTGAATTCTTGAAATACAACCAAATGTACAGTACAAAAAGTCCTGTCCTYGTGCAGCTTCTTACTAAGAGGGTTAGGTCATGTCCCTATGTGCTGCAAGTAAGGCAGGCTTCATTTTTTTTCCCCAGCCATATTCTACTATAGTAATTTAAGAAAAGTACCATTGAGGAGGGGCGTATTTTTCCAAACAAAATGTTTTAATGTTGACAACATTGAGGCAAAGGTTGAATTTCAACCTTACAAAGACTGTATTTTCTGAAATTGAAGAAATTACTGAGCCGTTTGCTATCTAGCAGTCAGCATGCTTAAAATACTGATTTAGATTAGCAAGAAAACTTAATTGCATAAATGCAAAATGCTGTCACTCAAAAATGAGGAAGCATTTGGGTTTTGATTTTTTTTTTTTGTGTGGGTTTAGGATTTTTTTGCCATTGTTGGATGTGTATTTTTGTTTTGTTTTGGGGTTTTTTTAGCCTGTTCTTATGTTGGCCACAAGCCCTCTCCCCACGCTACTTTTTTAAACCAAGAAAAGTGAAGACAATTAGATAATCACGATAGGATTCAACCATCTTTTGGGTTGTTGTCTGTTTTCCTATGTAGCAGATAGGCAACACATTCTGAATTTCTCTATGCTCTGTAAATACTTTCCATTGCTGGAAAAATATGGGCTCTTTCTGTGGGTTTTCCTCCTCCAAAGCCACTTTGGCTTCTTGTAGGCACTTTGAAATTTAGCTGAAAGTGAGAAAGAATATTTTTTTATTTCCCAATTCCTCTTTTACTTTCCCCTCCAAAAAAAGATTTAACAAGCTCTTAGCTTTTCAAAGCAGCAACATGTTTTGCTCTGACTTGTAGCTGTAAAACTTGCCACAATGGCTGTTGAAGGTGACTTTACTGGCAAAGTTTCACGAGCAACAGCAAAGGCATTTCAGATGCATCTCTGCAATCTTCTTTTTTCTTCAAATTCAGTTTATAGTTGGAAAACAGTTTAGTGCAACTATTTTGAGTCTGTTTTGTATTTGCTTCTATCGAACCTCTAAGCTGCGCAGACACTCGTGGCATAAGTTGCAGTGAAATGTTTCTTTTCAGTAGTCAGTGAGTAAATGTGTTTTTCAAGCCCCTACTGTTATTCCTTGGAGTACACTGAAAACTACATCTTAATTTTGCATGAAAGCTCTTTTTATCTGCAGAGGGAGATTGCTTCCAGCCTTCCGAGAGCCAGGTTTGAACGAGAAACCCCGCAGTTGAATTGTATAAGCTCCCTCGCCCACAAATAAATAAATATTTTTCAGAAATTTTTCTCCATCTCATAAGAAGGGAAGCTGAAGGTAAAAGCTGCACTTATCTGCACCCAGCACTGTGGAAAGTCAGTCCTGATGCTGAAGGGAGGAGGGAGTCACTAAATGCAGCCAGAAGTTCCTTTTCCTTCAAGTTTTCTGCCTAAACAGTGTCTTTTGTTTGCCTGCTTTAGTTGTTTCAATGTTTCCATTCTGTGGCAACTAGATTTAAGAAAGCATGTAAATAATTGCTTATAAATTAAAAAAAAATAATAAAAAGAAAATGAAACGCCATCCCTGTAAAATACATCCCATTTTGCAGTTTCTTGCGTGAAGAAGATTCCCATATCCTGATAAGAAAATCTARCCGTGATGGGTTGGATCCTCAGGTGTCCATCAGTAAGCACACCTTATTGCAGCATTCTAGGATGCTGTCTAAAACGATCTTTATCCTAAATATTTGASAGAAGCAGTATTAACAAAGATGTTTATTAGCGTTTGGTAACTGTTACARGCGGTGTGGTTTTTGTTTTGTGTGGGTTTGTTTTTGCATATGAACAATATATTCCTTCTGTTTAAAAAAAAAAAAATCTTTGCATAGGAAGTGGAAATTAAAGTTTTTCTTAGAAATGTCCTTGAATGCCAGCCCTGGGTTTTGCTGCTTAGCAGATGACGTGTCATGTTTAAAGACTGAGGGATTGGTGTCCCATGAAGCAGTATCTCCAGCAGACAGACACTTTCCCGGCAAGGCCCTTCCTTTCTATCAGTCTGAAGTCTAAGTCTGCTATGATGACTGATTAATTTGGGGAAGAAGAGGTTTTTGTCACCAGGATTTTCTTTTCCATAGTTTTGTTTTGTTGAGTGTTGCATAAAAGAGCTCAGGATGTTGCTTACGTTTCTTGATACCAGCCTTTGAAATGGTAATTAAATATCTGTGGTGAAAACAAGCCTCCCCTCTATTTATATTTTGTGCAAGGACTTTAATCAGCTGCCAACTACTAGAGGAGGAAAGTGCTCTGCGAAAGGTGGGGTGAGGGAGCGACCTGATGGTGGTTGGGATGGCTCTGACAGAAACAGGCCACTTTCAAATATGGGCCCAAACTTCTCCTTTGTCATCTACATCAGCTGCTTTGCAACCCACGGGCACTGTGACCTGCTTGGGTACAAAGCCATCAGCGCAGGATTTTATAAGAAGACTTTTTTTTTCATTCCTCATTGTTAAGAATTTGTGGGAGAAGGAGGCTACTTTCTTAAAATTATGACATGCTAGAAATTGCACCTGGGGAAAGGGGTTGCCTCCCTTTTCCTGGCTTTTTGGGATTCTTGTCTTCAGGTTTGCATTGGGTAAGTATCAACCAGAAGCAGTTCCTGTGGAGCTTCACCTATAACCAGTGTCTTTCTGTTGTCAGATAAATTTGAGCCTGATTTTCAAATTCTTTTTTTGCTTTTTCAATTTGATTCTGATCGGTCCATCTAAGCCACTTTTTGTAATAAATATTACTTGAGCAGGAACAAGAACTGTAGTTGTGTTCTTATATCAAAATCGAAGAAATGTTTTCATAACGGAAAACCTTTCAAGGACTTTCTCTTTTTCGTGCCTATATTTTCTTGGCTTTGGTGAATGACTTGACCAGCAGTTTTAAAACATGCCATTAAGGAGAAAGCTCTGAGAAAAGATATCTTGACAACATCATTAGGGTGTGAACCATTTATGGTTTATATACTCATGCATATTTGACAGTGTATTCAGGTTTCCTTATGCCATTCTTTTAAAGATGTATAGAGAGACCTATATATGTTTAACATTGCTAGGACCACAAAGGGGCAAAAATCTTTGGAAAAAAAAATATGTACATCCTTGATGTCAAAACAGTTTGACCACATATTAGATCCTTTCACAGAATACCARAGCGTCATTGTAATTTTTCTTAAAATACTCCAGCAAATGAGGACGCAGTTGACTTCTGCTGCCTCTTACACTCTTAACAGATTTTATATCCTACTGCCAAAATAAATCAGTTCTTCTTTGGTTACATCAATCTGTCAAGTTCCCCAAAAAGGGAACCCTTTTAGCACAGTTCCTTTCTTTCTGAAACTCCCACAATACTAACATCTTTTATGTGGCCAGCAGCTCCAAAAGCAGGAGCTTCAAGACAGGCTTCAAATACTGCAAGATTTGGAATATCAGAAGCTGGCAGAACTGCATCACAACGGCAGATATAAGATTGGTATCTGTGCCCGGTTATCTACATGTTAATGTAAATCTGCTGGATAAATGAAGATTTTCTGTGGATCTGCAACATCACGTCCCTTTTTGCAGTGTGCTATTGTAGGGCTTTAAGCATAAGCAAAACCCCATTGTGCCAGGAATAATGAAATCTCATAAAATTGAGTTTACAGGGCAAAGTGCAGGATGGTGATGGGGCCCCGTTCCTTAAGGGAGAACAAAAAGTTTCATCTGCTTTGAGTCAGGAAGCAACTTAATGCAGATAGGAGAATGAAAAACCTTCTATTGATTAAGCATAAGATTATGGGCAGAGTTAATTTCTATATTCTTCTTTTCATGCAAGTTCCTAGGCAAGTGCTTTTTTTTTTTTTTTTTCAATACTGCAACACTAAAATCACAGTGTGGCTACAAAATTTTAATTTCTCTTTCCTTCCTAAAATGACCAACTTCCCAAAATGTCCCGTTTCCTTCTCTGGACTGATTTTAGTCAGGGGAAGTTGCTTCTGGAGTCTCCTAGGATGTGTTTGAACAGGGCTCCTCTTCAGTGGAACTTCATGCCAACTCTGGTTAACCTGTGTGTCTATTCAAAAATCTGAGATATATATATATATGTGTGTGTGTGTGTGTGTGTATGTGTATAAGAAAATAAGGGTGCACTCAGAATGTGTTAGAACACCTCCAGTTCACTGTCTGGATACAAAATAGAGCTTCTGTGCAGAAGACATTATTGCATTTGGGTTCTGTGCGCTTCTGTCCATAGAAGCCGTGTGATTCTGAGATGCTTTATGGTAGTTTAGAGTCATATCTTTGAAGAAAGATGACTTTTTCCCTTTTTTCCTGCGTGCCTGCCCCGTGACATGCAGTGTGGCCGTTTCCTTCGCAGGTGTGCGGGCGCTTCCCATCGGCGGGCGGCGCTGGAGCGGAGGAGGCCGAGCAGGCCGCAGGGCGACGCGGAGGCCGAGGCGGCGCCGGGCGGCGCCGAGCAGCCCAGCCGCCTCTCCCCCGATTCGGACCCGGGAGCGGCCGAGCAGAGCCCCGCGCCGCCCGCGTGGGCAGAGGAGCCCAGCGTGGACAATCCCGCCTTTGAGGAGGGCACGGTGGCCGACAGTACGTCCTCCTTTGTCTCCTGTGGTGGTCCTGCGGGTGCCTCCTGGCCGACGTGGAGGCGCTTGTGGTGGCGCGGCTTGGCTCTCGCAAATGGCCGCGTCTCCCCTTCCTATCACAGTTCCTGGAGAGGTGTTTGAGGGTCTCTGTTACGAGCAAGTACTGCACGTAACTATGGGCTAAAATCACAGCTAGGAAGGAAAAAATTACCTAGTTGTACGTACTGCATAGGTAGCGTAGTTCTGGATCATGACACATGATCTGGAAGTGCTGGCCTAGAGACTAGAACAAAGCAGTGGGGATTTTTTTTTTAGTAAAACTACAAAGATTGTTTTCTAAGATGGGATTTCTTTTCCSCTCTTTCCCCTCTACTTCCCCCTGGCTCATCAGGCTTCCCACACATGGAGTGTTGTCCTGCTCAAACGAAAAGGCAACTGAGTAACTCCTGCATCCTCCTGCATCGAACTAACAGTAACGTCTCTAGCATCTGGGATTTTAGAGAGGAAGCACTGAGCCTTGCCACAGAGGAAGGTGGTCCTTTCCCCTTCCTTTTTCTGTGTATTTACCATCCGTTAGCACCCCGCTTTTTCCTTGTTAGTTGTCTCCATGTTTGCTTCAGAAATGGGCTGGCTTCTTGCCTCGACCTGTTAAGTCGATGGCAGCAGTTAAGGTAACACCAAGGCGATTGGTTTTGAAAATGAAACRTATGAAAATGAAACCAGATCCAAAGATTTCCCAATATCGATTTCAAAAGCAAAAAATCTCATTTCAGGAAGCATGGATACTACTAATTTGCCCTAGAGCTGTTTCTAATCTACTAGGTGTTTCAGTGAATAGCGGAACTAATCCGGTTGCGTTTGTTTAGTTTGCTGAAGTGTTGTCATGTGGTGTGCCTAGACTGTCCTTTGGAGATCTGCTTTATGGAAAATGAATGAGGTACAAAGGATTAATCATCTTTTTTTTTTTTTTTTTCCAAAAAACTTAATTGGCAGCAAATCAACAGCCACCTACCTTGCCTGAAGGAGAGATCACCACCATTGAAATTCATCGGTCCAATCCCTACATTGAATTAGGAATTAGCATAGTGGGTGGCAATGAGACGCCTTTGATCAACATTGTTATTCAAGAGGTTTATCGAGATGGGATCATTGCCAGAGATGGACGACTTCTTGCTGGAGACCAGATACTTCAAGTATGGAATTTAATTACATATTCTATCTACGCGTCCACTGCATTCAGCTRTTGCAGAGCTGTCGGTGAAATGAAATGGGAGATTGCCTTGTCAGACCGCCTTGTGTAAATGTTAGCTTTGCAATTATCAGTTGGAAGGCAAATTAATATGCAGAGTGGAGTCAGTAGCTGTAGTTCTTTTGCCTTTGGTACTTTGTTGTTCATGGGATCGGCCTTCTGGAATTACCTTTCTTCCTTAGCATCTCTTACCCGTTTTTAAAACATGAATTTCTTTTTCTGCTTTTTAGATATTCTGGGGCATGATGAAATTTCAAATTTATGCATGCTTTCCAAAGAAACTGAAGTTTAGTTTTACTTGCCAGATTGGCATAGTTTGCCCCGTGTAAAAATGACTTGCAGACTGTAAGATTGATTCATCTGTTATTTTAATCTGGCTTAAGTGTTACTTTCTCATAGGCTATGCATTTGAGCTGCATTTTTTGGTATTTGTAAAAGAGAAACTCTGTGATATTGTTTGCTGACATGGAGACCTCACTTTTATTATTATTATTTATTTTTTAATCCAGCAGATAGAAGTAGTTTAAATATTCTAGTTACCCTTGAAACAAAATTAATTTCAATACTTGAGGACTCTCTCTGCTTGCTGGAATAGGAGCTTGTCACTGAAGCTTTGGGAATTCTTACTATTTGGGCAGGTGTCAGTTATAATTCCCAAAGACAGAAGTGGCTATAAATTGACTATAAACCCTATTTATAAGCTGTATTTAACAAGGAACTAACAGTGAGGCCGTCAGATTCCAGGAGAGTGTTTGYTGGAGCCATTTTTTCATGGAGAGGAAAATATACAGGAGGCAAAATCCAAATTTGGGGGGAATTTACAGTATTTTTGCTGCTTTGAATTTCCCCATGCAGTTAAGGTGCTCCRCTGTGGTGTTAAAAGATTAGAGGGCTTGCTCTGTACAGACTACAGTTAAGCACAGAGTTAAATATAGTTTCATGTCCACATTTCACATGTGTATTTCTGCATGTCTTCAAAGGCAGCAAAGGACTAAAAGAAAACTGGAAAGAATTGTGAAACTTAGCCTCTTTTGCCCAAACAAGGAGTTTTATTCTTTTCAAGATCGAAGGGAACAGCGTTTAATAATTGTCCCATAAAAGTTCATGTTGTAACAGGGTGTCAAGTACAGCATATAGAGAGGTGCCTAACATTTTCAAAGCACTCCAACATACTCTCCCTTTATTATTTATTTACTTATTTATTAGTTTATTTATTTTTGTGCTGGGCTATAACAGGAGGGCATGTAAAATACATTCCAATGAGGGTGTATTTTTACAAGAGATGTCCCCATGGTTTTAGTCAGAAAATAGCTACTGCATTGTGGAATAAACAGCTAACTTTCATTGCCTTTCGTCTTTTATGCCCTTTGAATGCCTCAGAGTTTTATGTATTTACTTTAGCTAGTGATAGCTAAAATTAAAAGTGAATGTGATGGCTCTGACAGCTGAGCCCTGCTGGATGGCGATGGTGGCAGTTCTCAGTGCTGCTCTTTCCAGCTGTGCCCCCTTTCTCTCAGCTCCAGATTGCCTTTTTTTCTCCCAAATCTCATGTCTCTGACATTTTTTATGGTAAATTTACAGTGCAAGACATGATTGAAGACAGTTGATCTGTGTATCAATGTGGGCAACATAACTAGCAAAATTCTTGTTTATAGTGCCAGGGAACTTGGTCTGTTTTTCACTTACAGTTAATTTATGAGGGATACAAGCTGTGAGTGTGAAACCCAGACCTYAACCAAGTCAAGAGAGGACCCCCTAAGTTCACACTAAGACTTCAGAGTTGCCAAACYGTGGCATCTGTCTTAATGAACAAATTTGTTTTGGATTTCAGCCTTTTTTTTTCTCTCTTTAAGATTTCCCTTCATGGAAATACTGCATTTTGTTAGATGTTACCTTTCCTCAGAGACTTGGATGTGTTCTTTTTATAGCTGTTATCTTACAGTTTGAAACGATAATGTGCTTGACACTGAAAGCATGCAGAGAAAGTTCTTGCCCTGAAGATCAAGCAATTTAAGGATCTAAGGACAACCTAAGACAAACATGGGAGTCTAGGAAAACAAAAAGCTTGGAGGGTGCTCGGTGTTAGAGGGATGTTTTTGTCCTTGTGGGAAGTGGGCTTGTGCCTTGAGCAGGAGAGTGCAGGAAAGGCTGGAAGGAAGAGAGGGGGGCCCCAGCATCACCACGTAGGTAGATCATTCCAAAGCAGGGATTTCCTGAGCGCTTGTGTCCATAGCCAGGAACAGTTAAACACACAGGGATGTTAATCCAGCTCTYGCTTCCTTTCGCTGCAGGTCAACAGCTTCGACATCAGCAACGTGTCGCACAACCGGGCGCGCGCGGCGCTTTCGCAGCCCTGCGCCGTGCTGCAGCTCACGGTGCTGCGCGAGAGGCGCTTCGGGGGCCGCGCGCACGCCCACGCCGAGGGCGGCAGCCCCGCGCGCGACGACAGCTTCCAGGTGACRCTGCACAAGCGCGACTCCAGCGAGCAGCTCGGCATCAAGCTCGTGCGCAGGACCGACGAGCCGGGCGTCTTCATCCTCGACCTGCTGGAGGGCGGCTTGGCCGCCCAGGACGGTCGCCTCTGCAGCAACGACCGGGTCCTGGCCATCAACGGGCACGACCTGAAGCACGGCACGCCCGAGCTTGCTGCTCAGGTTATCCAGGTAGTTTGGATTCCATGTCCGAGCCCTCAGCTCAGCTTTGTTGCTTGCGGGGAGCCCTCAGTAGAGCCTGACCCAGGCAGAATATCTGGTATATCATACCTGAAAGAGCCTGCRGCAGTGCTGTTCATTGTGGTTTGAAGAACTTCACTGTGAGGGTGACAGAGCCCTAGAACAGGCTGCCCAGGGAGGCTGTGGAGTCTCCTTCTCTGGAGATCTTCCAAACCTGCCTGGCTGCCACCCTGTGCCCCGTCCTCTGGGTGTCCCTGCTGGAGCAGGGAGGTTGGACTACATGATTTCTAGAGGTCCCTTCTAACCTTAACCATTCTGTGATTTATGTTCTGGAAGTCGTATAGCAAAGCAGGGGCCTGCTTTGGCACCTGGCAGGTGAGTATCACCTCATTAGGGATGAAACCCATAGCAGTCCTTCTGAACATACTGCCTGTGGACTAGGCAACTGCTCCTGTCAACTGGCAGAGTGCCATGTAACCAGCTGCTTAGCAGAAAGGAAAAAGAAGAGGGCACTGGCAGAATTTCTGTATATACTGCAGTTTTCATCTCTAAATCTCAGTAAGCTCTACGAAAAGTTTATATTGTTTTGTATTTGATTTGCCTGCATATGGATTTGGGATTTCAAATAGCAAAGATTTGCCAGAGCTCATATAGGCAGCAGGTGGTAGCTGGGAACCAAAAAATATAGGCTTTCCATTAGTCCCATCCACTGGAAGTTGTTTCCAGAGTATTAGGAAAGGCTGTTCCAAGTGACTCGCTCTGCTCTGAGCACGAGTGAATGTTGGCCAAAGCTCGACGCAGGCTGACGCGCTACCTCTCCCTGTTCCTGCAGAAAAAAATGGCTCCACTTTCTCCTTTCTCCTAGTCTGCTTTCTCCTAGTCTCTAAGGAAGCAGCTGCTTTGCACTGCTCCTTCCTGCAGACTGGGTATTGGTGAGAAATACTCTGGTTTTAGTAAAGTCACAATAGCCTAGTAGTAGTTCTTGCAGTATAGACACAGAATCCCAGAGTGGTTGGGGTTGGAAGGGACCTCTAGAGATCACCCAGTGCAACATTCCTGCTCCAGCAGGGACACCCAGAGCACGGGGCACAGGGTGGCRGCCAGGCGGGTTTGGAAGATCTCCAGAGAAGGAGACTCCACAGCCTCCCYGGGCAGCCTGTGTAGCAGCCTTTGCTCTATCCCCAATTCCAGTGCCAAATGCAGGACTGTGATTCCAATGGGTAGTAAATACTCGTTTTGGATTTTGTTTTAAGAGTTTCCATTGCAGTTACAGGAAAATAACAATGACTTTGGAGATTTTAGTGTCAGTTTCTCAGTTTCTGGACATGGTGAAATGGTCAGAATTTTACACTAGGTAACTTCTGTGGAAAGAGAATGATATTTAATTTAATAAGTGGTATTAGGGTCTCCTGTAGTCCTCAAACTTCAGAATTTGTTGGCCGCCCATATATGCCATCTTTCTCTGGAATCTCTGCAGAAGATAACACAGGGCTTTAGAAGTTGTGACAAAAATCCTCAGGCCCTGGKGCTGTCCTGCATGCATTTCTTTCTTTTATTATTAACATTGTAATGAATATGTCGCAGAAGTTCCTAGAGACTGCAAGTGGGACTCGGGGATTCCTTCTGTTTGCAAAAAAAAAAAATTCAAACAAATTTTGCTGTCTGCCTTTTATCATATTTGATCATATGATTCCCTCCCCTTGGCTAATAATCAATATTGCAGTAACTTCATATTTGATTTTCTATCAAATATCTCCCCACAGGCCAGTGGGGAGAGAGTGAATTTGATCATCTCCAGACCCATGAAGTCGCAGACGGTCAGTATTATCCGAGACACAGGGACTCATAACAGCAACCAGCACCAGACCCAGCAGCTGTTTCACAGCAGACCCAACTCACATAAGGTCAGTGTTTCCTTTTCTGAGAGAGATATAAATACAGTTTTGGTCATACGATGGTCTAAGTGTGTAAAAAGGCAGAAAGGATTATGTCTTTCTTTTTTCCTACTTAAAAATCAGAGAAGACTTCAAGTTTTCAAGCCCTGCCTCATGTCAAGAGTGGGAACAGAAGATAGGCAAGAGCTTTTCAGTRTATTTTGCACTTGCTGACTGTGGTGGTGAAAGCAACTTCTCTGAGCTCACACAGCTGTGGCTGTAAGAGGTTATGTGCAGAGCAGCCCGTGTGTTGCTGCCACATGGGAGGCCTCTCATTCAAGAGCTTCCCTTTCTCTGGCTTTCCTTCCAGGCAGCAGGGACAGGAGATGTGTTAAATGCCATCCAGTATAGGAAGAGCACACAGGAGGGCTGTGTTATCTCCTCCATGAGGCAACAGTACTGGCTGCAAAGCTGCTGATTGCTGCAAGTGCCAGCTGGGGAGGAAAGGCAGAATGAAGAAGGGCAGAATGGGCAATTTCCAGAAACCTGTTGTCATATTATTCAGAAGACCTGCAGAAGTAAACCCCTTGCTTCAGCTGTTCTTGTAGTTAGAAAAACACGGGTTCTCACTGTTCAGGATTTGTGAAATAATTGTCAGATTGGTCTGTGTTGACTAAACCACCCTTTCCTCCTACCTGCTCTCTTTGTGTCGCTGTTTTATATAATACTTCTGCTGGGAACTTGTGTTGATAATATTTTCCTTTAACTGCTTTAAATGTTCAGAACAGAACAAGAGAAGCTCCACTGAGAAAGTCCAGGTGTTTGTTTTGCCCTGAGAGCCAAAGATGAGGCTCCCGAGCACTTTGAGTGCTCACCTGCCATTAGAACGTGCTCTGGCATCAGGACAGAGCGACCCAAAAAGTAATTMCAGCTCATCTGTATCAGAGTAACACAAGGCCTGGCCCACTTTCTATGTACCGGTAACAGATAAGACTTGCAAAATTGATTCATTGGCTGATTCATAACATTTCAGTATCATCTGTTCAAAGTACTAGAGTTCTTTCGAAGCRGTAAGTCTCATGTAAACACCAGTGATTTCTATGCTAGACTGTTCGTATGGTTCATATAATTTACCTTAGATTGCATTAGAGTAATTTACAGTTGGTTTAGAATCTMTTAGTGTAAAGCAATATTTATGTAATTATGAAATCAGTTGATTAATCCAAAAGCCTGAAGAATTAAAAAACAGTAGTGTCTGCAAGCTGTGAGGTAAATGTACAGCTATGTATGTGATTGACACGTGTATGCAGGGTGCAGACTAAATAAGAAGTAACATGTGGTACTGAAGATTGAATAAAGGACTGCTTCCATTTTCCAAGAAATGGCAGGGAAATACAGAAGTATTTGTATTTGGAAGAGTCCTCTGGGTTATTTCTTTCATCTGTTATTTTGAAATCCTTTCAAGTATTTTGTTGATCTCAGATGTTACTACAGGTGAATGTTCAGTGGTTTGAATGTCCTGAATATCCTGGAGAGACTTGAGCTAAGTAAAATATATCTTGATTCAAGTGTAAAGCCCTTTGATGGCACAAACAAATTAAGGCCTGAACTTTACAATTCAGGTGTTAGAAAATGAAATACAATGTTCTCATCTTGCTCGAGGATTGAGACATCATTAAAGTCATTAGGGAGCTTGGACATGGATTAACAGCCTATAGCACTGAGTGGCCTTATCCCCTTTTTCCTCTGAGAGACTCTGCATGTCAACTGCAGAAGAAAACATGGCATATAAGGGCTTTCTTTTTGTGTATGTGTGTGTGTGATCATGAAAGCACATGTGTTTCCATTTCTTTTGGATCGTCTTTGTACTTTTGAGTGATACTTAACTTACAAATGAGGTAATTCAGCAAACTGGAAAAGATTTATCCCCGTTCTTATCTAGACTTTTGAGTATATGGCTGYACAATCCTAAAATTCAGTGTATCCCAAAGTAGGGGCTGAGAGAAACCAGAGTGAGATTTTCAAGATGGGCCTCCCTAAACTTCCTAAGTCAGTGGTATCTGAGTGTTTTCCTTTTTTTTCTGAGCTRGAGGAAATCTGGTTGAAGTCAATTTGCTCTACAGACTTACCCCTATTAAACCAATCTCTTGAAGTGCCMAAATGTAACTTGGGGGTGGATCTAGTTGTGTTTCGGTGTTGTTTGGTTTTCACAACATGATTTACCCTGTCAATAGGATCTCTCCCAGTGTGTTACATGCCAAGAAAAGCACATTACTGTGAAAAAGGAGCCTCATGAATCTCTYGGAATGACAGTGGCAGGAGGCAGAGGCAGCAAAAGTGGTGAACTGCCCATCTTTGTTACGAGTGTGCAACCTCATGGCTGTTTGGCAAGAGATGGCAGGATTAAACGAGGTAGGTCTTGGCTTTCCTGGTGCTTTTTGGTTGCTTTTTGAYGAGTTCATTCCCTGAAAGTGGGTGGTGGTGTAAATTTTTCCAACAGATGTACCAAAGCAGGCAGAGATGCTTCTCTCTGTGTTTCAGTAATGGAAATACCATGTGTAGCATCCCGTTTCCTCCTTGCCTAGGAAAGGGGTGTTTAGGCAGTGACAACAAGGGAAGCGCACGAGACCAGGAAATGGCCTAAATCCTTTAAAGCTGAGGATAATCTGCCCAAGTGGCAGGTCTGGTGTGATGCTTTGCCTGAAAATGTCCTGTTTTCCTGCCTGACCCTGAGGAACCTTCGCTCCCCGGGACAGGGGCTGCACAGATGAGTTGGTCCTGCTGCAGTCGCAGCTGCCCTGGGTGACCAGCCCCACACAGGACCCCTGCAGCAAATCACTTGGCTCCTGAAAGCTTCCCCGTCCCTGGCGTGGCCCAGCTTGGCCTTGCTGATCTTCAGATGTGCTGCAGCATCYGTCTGCCTTCCTGGCCTTGTTGGAAGGTGAATGGGGGACAGCCCTGTCTGAGAAGGATAAAGCATTTGAAGATTAGAACATACTGTGCTGCATGTGGAACAAAGATGCGTGGTGCCACTGCATGTGGGATCTCCATGAGTCAGAGTTTGTAGAATTTCTGACTGTCTTAAGAGAGAATTATAGGGAAAAAATATCTACATGCTAATTTAAAAGGAATGGAATGATATTCTCCTTATGTGCTTCTGAGAAACGGATTTTTACACCCACACAGCACTGTGTATCCTTTCTTTCTCTGAACTTCTTCAAAAAATGCACTCAATGGAAGTATTGCAATTGCTGTTTTTGTAATTGTGATCGATAGCAAACTGGGTGGAGTGGCCGACACTCCGGAGGGCTGTGCTGCCGTTCAGAGGGACCTGGACAGGCTGGAGAGCTGGGCAGAGAGGAACCTCATGAGGTTCAACAAGGACAAGTGCAGGGTCCTGCACCTGGGGAGGAATAACCCCAGGCACCAGGACAGATTAGGGGTTGACCTGCTGGAGAGCAGCCCCGCAGAGAGGGACCTGGGTGTCATGGTGGACGACAAGTTGACCATGAGGAAGCAGTGTGCCCTGGTGGCCAAGAAGGCCAATGGGATCCTGGCTGCATCAGGAGGATGTTGCCAGCAGGTCAAGGGAGGGGATCCTGCCCCTCTGCTCAGCTCTGGTGAGGCCGCACCTGGAGTATTGGGGGCAGTTCTGGGCTCCCCAGTATAAGAGGGACGTGGAGCTTCTCGAGAGGGTCCAGCGGAGAGCGACAAAGATGACTAAGGGACTGGAGCATCTGTCATATGAGGAGAGACTGAGTGATTTGGGCCTGTTTTTTCTGGAGAAGAGAAGGCTGAGAGGGGATCTGATCAATATATGTATAAGTGCCTGATGGGAGAATGTAGGAAGGAGGGGCCAATCTCTTCTCAGTGGTGGCCAGTGATAAGACAAGGGGAAATGGGTATAAGCTGAAACCCAGGCAGTTCCATCTCCATGTGAGGAAGAACTTCTTCACTGTGAGGGTGACAGAGCCCTGGAACAGGCTGCCCAGGGAGGCTGTGGAGTCTCCTTCTCTGGAGATCTTCCAAACCCGCCTGGCTGCCACCCTGTGCCCYGTGCTCTGGGTGTCCCTGCTGGAGCAGGGGGTTGCACTGGGTGATCTCTAGAGGYCCCTTCCAACCTCAACCAGTCTGTGATTCTGTTTCATTAATGTAGTGAACAGCAAAATAAATGTTTTCAAGTTAAAATGYTACCTCAACCTCAGCTTTCCATGACAGGCAAAAGCTTTTCAAAGATTGAAGGAGTCTCTTTCCAAACATGAACCAAATGTTCTTACTTTTTGCTTTGCACTTGATGGCTTTTTGTTGGTATGTTAAACATTGTGTGAAGGAGAAGACTTACTTCTTGGACAATAAATAACATTATTGTTTTTACCTTGATTCTTTTCAGAAATACTCTGAAAAAAAATTAGGGTAATTTTGTAGTSTTTGGGGTCTTTCCAGGTTTTCATCTTGGCACAGATGTTATTTCTTCCTTTTATCAGATTGTTATTTGTACCAACCTTCCTAGTAGMCCCTGTTTTTCTTTCTGAGCTCCCAAACAAGTTTAAAAAACTCAGAGACATGAAGCACTCTATGGAGCTGCACTTACCTCAAAGGTTTAGTTCCCTTGTGGTGTCTGTATTGTTCTTTTCATTACTTTTCCTTCCCTTTTAAAGATTGGATGGAATTAAAATACACCATTGAGAGCAATTCTTTAACAGTACGTTCAAGAGCAATTGCTGTAGAGAGGTGTGAAATGCTTATGTAATTTCTATCCCAAATTTTCATAGTGATTTTACTGCAGAAGTCACAATATTTTGTGTGTTTTCCTAACATAAACAATAGAAATACAGGTTTATACATTAATGTTTTAAAGTGACTATATAAAGTTTCAGGGTTAATATGCTGCTATTGATATGCCAAAGTTGATAGTTCAGATGGTCTCACCTCCAAAAAATACAGTATTAAATAAAACCCTGGTGGGAAAGGTGCTCTATGTCAGAGTGTTACGGCTGCCTGACCTGTTCTTCCTTGTGCCCTGAAACAGGTGACGTGTTGCTGACCATCAATGGCATTGATTTGACTAACCTCAGCCACAGCGAGGCAGTAGCCATGCTGAAAGCCAGTGCTGCCTCTTCCGTAGTGTCCCTGAAAGCCCTGGAAGTGCAGATTGTGGAGGAACAGCCCCAGTCTAACGAAGAACAGCTGAGTACTATCAGCGAGAATGAATATGATGCCAGTTGGTCGCCCTCATGGGTCATGTGGCTRGGACTTCCAAGGTACTGAATTTATTAATAAAGTAATTAATTACCTGTTTTAAGCTAAGGCTTAAAACATCATCCCCCATACATCTCCCCAGTCTATGAAGGGACAAACCAAGTCTMTCCATCTTCCAGTTTGCTAAGAAAATGTTGCTTCTGAATATCTTCTTAGCAAAYGAGAAGATGGAGAGACTTGGTTTGTCCCTTCATACACTGTATTACTGCTCAAATGGATTTTTCTTGTCAAATACCAGTCATGAGGAAGAACAACTTTYCTGTGAGGGTGACAGAGCCCTGGAACAGGCTGCCCAGGGAGGCTGTGGAGTCTCCTTCCCTGGAGGTCTTCCAGACCTGCCTTACTGCCCCGTGCTCTGGGTGTCCATGCTTGAGCAGGAGGATTGGACTAAATGATCTCTAGAGGTCCCTTCCGACCCCAACCATTCTGTGAYTCTGTGATATTTTCTGTCCCTTAAGCTTATTAAAGCTTCCAATAGAATATTTTAAGACCAGAGATGTTTTTAATAAAAAAGGACACTAAATATTTCCTCAAGTTTCTCTGTGCTAATCCACTACTTAAGTTTAGAAGGCCACAGAACTAACTTGAGAATATCAAATCAGACTCGCCAGTCTAAGTTTTTGCACAGATCTTTTGTGAATATACAAGCCTGAAGTTGCAAATCCTTGTGTATTTTTCTCAGGAACACACTCCTATGTCTGCCAAGCAGAAAAACCCTTTCAGATTTGCAGCAAGGCCCCTCCCTTTTCCTAATGTACAGTCTGCTTGACATCACCATGTTTCATTTTTACTGTTCTGTTTTTCACACTCTTACGGCTACACTATAAACCCATTCTGGCAACACTTGCTATGAAGAAGAGCTCCTGCTACAGGCAGTGGTGTTGGTACCTTCAGTCAGGCTGGGCAGGTTGGTTCCTCTGCCTTTGACAGGCTCAGTCAGTGTCAGGCTCAGACCTGTAGTTTAAGCATCAAACAAGAACAAAATAAATTGRTAGGAGAATACAATCCAAAGGTAACAGAACAAAGATTTCACATTTTTCATTTATTTTCTGAGTTTTTCTGTCAATATATACATACGATAAAGTCTTCCATTCAAATAYTGATTAGTTAACCTCAATAAATAACTCCCAGCTTTGGTAAATGAATCCACCTTTCATGCTTTAGCAGCAGTTTATTGCTTATGTTCTTGTATGACCGTGTCTTGCTCCTTAAGTGATACATTATACACTGTGCTCCTGCTCTTTAAAGAGCATTGAAGATCACTTGGAATCWTTTTTTTAACCTAGAAGTTGATTTCCAGGTTCATTCTTTTTAATTGCAGTCTCTACTGGCAAGAATTTTCACTGGGGAAGATAACACACACGCCAGTACTGTTAGTGAGACATTTTCTGCATTACTTACATTCTTCATAACAAAAYGGTTAATCATTTTTCATATTTTTATTACCGATGATGCTATTCAGAGATAGAGAACACAATGCATGGATTTTTAGGTCTTCACTTAAAGCTGAAAGGGTCTCAATTATCTGGGGGTGGAGAAGAGAGGAAAGACACTTGCAAACTAAACACATGGATATCCATTTCCCACCCACAGTTTTGCCACCTGTGAAATTACCATCAGCTTACGGAGTTAAATATATTTAAATAATTACCTAGCATCACATTATTTCTTTTTAAACATGTTTCTGTCTCAAGTGCTTGTTTTTATTTTTGCCATAATGAGTTTGAATATTGCAAAATTGCTGCCTGGGATCGGAATACTAATCACCATCCCTCCCCTGCTCTTCCCTGTTGATCGCAGGGGTGATGATGAGCCAGCAGGTGTTGTGCCTAATATAAAAATATCCCTGGGTGGCATTCCCAGCTTTTTAGCTTTCCTTCATCCTCTGCTTGCATTCCCCAGCTGCCTGCATAGCTGCCACGACGTGGTGCTGCGGCGGAGCAATCTGGGAAGCTGGGGCTTCAGCATTGTCGGCGGCTACGAGGAGAACCACACGAACCAGCCCTTCTTCATTAAAACCATTGTTCTGGGGACGCCCGCCTACTTTGACGGAAGATTAAAGTAAGCAAAGCTCACGGTTCACCATCCTGCTCTTGTCAGCAGCTATGTGCTGGGGCAACGAAGTGCAGCCGCTTTCGGGTGGCTTAATGACATGTGGTAGCACCTGGTTGTGTGTAGGTGCTGGGGAGCTTGTGCAGCGCGCTAGGGTTTTGCCTCCCTSATGAGGGGCACGCAGAGAAGGAAGGGGGATTTCTGAGGGGGTAAAGATGAGTGCTGTAGCTTTGATGGAAAGGTGGAAATGTCAGTACGTCTGGGAAGATCACTAAGGAAGAGTGTGCTCGCTCTTGAGAGTTATTAGTGGGTGGGAAGGACRTGGAGTTCAGCAGAGGCCACCAGGATGGTTGGGGCTGGGGCACCTGCTGGGGCACCTCCAGGACGGGCTGCAGCAGCTGCTCCAGGGGGACAAGGGACAACAGCCGCAGGTCAAATGAGAGGTTCAGACTGGGTATGAGATGAAACTTTCTGCCCGTGAAGTCMCTGTCACCCAGGTTAGCACAGGCTGCCCAAGGAGGTTGTGCAGTCTCCATCCTAGGATGTTTTTAAGACCCAGCTGGATCAAGCCCTGAGCAACCTGCTCAGATCTCGTGGCTGGCTGTGCTGTGAGCAGGAGGTTGGACTGCAGGCCCTGCAGTCTCCTGAGGCCCTTTCCAAGCTCAGTGATTCTACAGCTCTATTTGCCCGTTTCACTGGGATGCAGTCTCCAGGTATAGTCCGAATATACACATTTGAGGCTTGTTTAGGATCAYTTCAGAATTAAGACTTGTGATTCCTCTTGAAGATTCTGTTGGTCATAAAGTGGTTATTGCAAAGGTACAGAATATGCCCTGAGTTTGGGAACATTATATGAATTGAAGTTTTATGCTATGATTTTGGCATGTAGATTTACTTTAGAAGTAATTTAAGAAAAAGCTGTGYTTATGTCTTAAGCCTTGCCAGTAATGGATTTTTCAGTTCAGTGACTAAATAAATAAATTAAAAAATAGTTTGGCTGAACGAAAAAAAAACCATTTTTGGCCAAGTATGAAATCGTTTGGATTAAATGAAAGATTTTAGTTCAACCGAAAGCAAATAACTTCACTTTGGGGAATTAATAACTGCAAGTCTTAACACAAATTGAAATTTAAGTATTCTTAAGAAGATGGAAAGAGTGGCTGTGGTCAGACTCGGTCCATGGTAACACACTGCAAAAACACTCCTCTGTGATGTGATTCCCTCTGTTCAAATCTACCGTATCCCATTAAGAAAACAGGCTTTAAAATGGGTTTCCTTCACCTACAAGGGCAAGTTCCTTGTGTTTTCCTCGAGTCTAAAACACCCAAGTTGCTTTAGACACATAGACTCTTTGCTGCTCTCTTTGCTGAGCATGGTTTACATCTGTGTATCCTATTCCTGTAGGATAGGGATGTAATGGCTTAATGTTCTTAATTTGRCTGTATCCTGAGGCTCCAAGTCTTAGAGGAATTCACATACCAGAATTCTAGCTCTTAAGTGTATGTGAGTGAAACTGGGTTACTACTGTTACAGTAAGAGCTGCATTACAGCTTAGCTGTAGATTTATTTGGGAAAATATCTACCAGAAGACCCTTAGACTTAGAAAGACAAGTTTTTCTGCRTTAAGACACCTATTTCCTCCTCCCTACAGTTCCTCAGCACTGTAAAAGCAGGAGTGCTGGTCATGCTCTCCTTCTGCTCTGCCCTGGTGGGGACGTTGAGAGCTCATGAGAACATCTTTCTGCCCTCTATTTTAGCATCCCCACAGTAGCCGAGAGGATCATGTTCAGGGAAAGTCTTGTTCAACCTCCAGATTCTCCTTTCAGTGCTCTGGGTGATGCCAAACACCCAGTCAAGTCCCAGCAAGGAAATGTCTGAGATGAAACATGACTTAATGCAGAAAGAATGTACCTGCTCTGCTTTTAATCTCTCCTGAGATRATAAAGACTTAAAATTAACCCCTTGAGGCAAATGTTCTCAAGGCCAGGAAACAGCAACCTCTCAATTTCCTATTGCCTGTTTCAAAGCATGGAAACACTGAAGCTTCTCTGTTGAACTATMGACTGTGGGAGATTTCCATCCCAATTCTTACATTTGATGAAATCCTAAGCTCTTGAAAACAGTATCTTCTATTGAAATATGGCTGGTAACCAGTTCTTGCACTTGCTGCAGTGCAGGCATGTTTGGTGTCAGTGTGTTATAATTCACATAAACATAAATGCTTYTGCCTTGCACGTGCTCTCTCCTTCTTACTACATTAGATCTTTCCAKCTCTCTCTTCTCATATTTTCCTACAAGCCAGCTCTTAATGCAGAACCATTTTTATATTAGGATCGAAATACATTGATTCAAGAATTTCACGGTTTCAGTAGGAAAACAGACTAAAAATTGAGKTTTTTTCTTTTTTTTTTTTAGCCCCACTCAAACCCRAAAGAACCCCAGTACCCCAGAGATTGTTGTGCATGATAGTGAATTGCAGACCAGTAGTCATCATTTGCTTTTCTTCTTGTGTTTTTTTTCAGGTGTGGTGATATGATTGTTGCTGTAAATGGACTATCCACAGTCGGAATGAGCCATTCTGCACTCGTTCCCATGCTGAAGGAGCAGAGGAATAAAGTAACTTTAACAGTGATTTGCTGGCCTGGAAGCCTCATATAGATCTGTGAACTCGCTTTGGTTCAAGCAGCTTCTTTTCTAGATAGCTGGCAAAAAAATCTCCTTTATTTCTTTTTTCTCCTATTGATATACAGCTGGTTATAAGCAGGGCCAAAACTGCTGCATTCACTTTTTTTTCTGTGTTTTCCTTTTTTACTTATGGGCCTCTCAGCCTCGCCATATGTATCTTTCCATCCTGAAATAGCCATAATTTCCTATGTTCATTGCTGACACAAGTGCAAATACACACAGGCTCACACCTATAAAAATTCCCATTCCTTTGTGGCTGTCCTTGTGCTTTCTCAGTCAGGTTATATTCTTGTAGAGTCAGGAGAAGAACTTAGGGATACTTTGGGTCTCTCTGAGCACTCCAAAATCGTGTATAATATTGCGTGTAATATATAAATATAATAACCACGTGCCCACTCTTCACTGAGAAGATGATGTGTGTCAGTAACGTAGTGACACATCTGTATGCTGCTATGACTCCAAATCAGTGTCCAAAGGTAGGCCTTTTCATTTTGCCCATTTTTGATTCATATTTTTCATTTTGCCCATTTTTGAGTCCTATTTCAGACTGGTTCAGCGAACCCGTGTTAGCCATAAGAAATCATTCGGTCTCCGGGATTTTTCTTGCAGGGCATCAGCATTCATAGAAAAGTAGGACGAAAGCCTGATATTACTGGAATTTTTATAACGTGCAATAATGGGACTCTTTGCTAGGAAACTTTAATATATTACAGAGTTTGTATCCTATGATGAAAAGAAATCTGGAAGTAATGACCRTTGCAGTGCTGGCAAGAACACACATGCCCAAGGTCGGCCTTGAGTGAATGGCTTGCAGTATTAGACTTGACTTTACAAATGAATGTTTTGCTATGTCAGACAATTTTGATGAACGTTTTTACTACAGTCATTTTTACAATTTATATTCTAGTTGTCAGCTGTCTTTATTCATCTGTAGAAACAATACTTTGGCTTGTACTTTGTAAATGAGAGAAATATTTCCAAGAAAAAAAGAAGCAAGGTATTAGGAAAGCCTGCGTTGGGGTTTACAGGTGGGCAGGCTGGGAGGAAGGCTCCTTTCATTCGAGTGCAACTGCAAAGTAAGCTGCAAAGTTCATTCTTATGCTGTCACCTCCTGACGAATGTGCAGATGCCTTGATATAAAATTCTGAAACTCTCTCTTGCATTTCAGGATTGTTTTTTTCCTTTAGAGAGTACCTGCTATTAAGCTGTCAGTAAGAATGATACTATTTATCTTTGATTGTATTTAGTATTTTTAAAAGGAAACCTATAACTTTTAGACTTTGCCTTTCCATGCTGTTTTCAGGCTAATCACCCATCTGTTAAAAAATAAAAAGGGGACGTGGGGTGGGGATAGGGGGCACACAAACTAATTCGCCCACCAGGAGCAAAGCCTCTATGTTGTCAGTGTTGGGCATATTTGAAAAAGAGCTTCATTTATCAACCAGGTTCACAGCCTGAACTGATGTTATCAACGACCTCTATATTGTATTATTACTTACAAGAGAATGTATTTGAGAATCACGATGTATTTCAATTGTGAAGCATGAACTTGATTTTCCAACTTAGCAGCCATAATAAGGGGGCATATTATYGCATGTCATTAATTCCAGTAGCTTTGTTTTAAAAAGAAATAAAGTTAATCTTTTGCAAAAAAAAAGTGTAAAAATCTCATACGAAGTGGATTTATTTTTCTCTGTAATGTGTAATATCAGTTCAATTTAATAATATTAAAATACAGAAGAATGTCCTGTACAGTATATTACTGTATTGAGAATCTTTGTTTTTAAAGCAAACACCAAAATTGTTTGATACGCTGATTTGAGAACACGTTTCCTTCCATCTGAAATTGTTTAAATGTATTCTTAGCATTTAATGCCTTTTTTTTTTTTTTTTCTCTTTTGTAATGAACATCCTAGTATAGTCTTTAGGGAAGATTTTGATATATGTATTGAACTTAACATTTTTTATTTTGCAAGTAACATTTTACTTAAAACCCTACACAAATGTTTTTTTTTTTAGAATTGTTCTTTTATATATATAATTATATGTAATGAAAGCATGGGTTAGCTTAAACCGTGTTGTGTTTAAACTGTTTTGTTTCATCGTGCTGCAGATTTTGTTCATCATGTCCAGCGATAAAAGTTAATTCTGAGTGAATTCCTTTTCYGAACCATTTTCCCCTGTTGTCTTGTAGCCACATAGTTTGGTTTGGTTTTCTGTGCCTTCTGTTTTAAATTATTTCAAGATCTTTTTCAGATATTGCTATCTAGTTGTGTCATATTAATGAAGGATGAATGAAAATAAAAGTTCATTCTACTCATTGTAACAAGTTCAAGTATTGTGTCTTTACAAAAGGTCAACGAAAGTGATGTAGCCTCAGTTTAAAGTTTGGGTTTTCTTTTTCTCTTTATTTATCACAAATAAATAACAGTTAGTGAATTTACCAAAAGAATCCGGGAGGCCAGGGTAAAACATCAGCCGTTCAACTGGCAATTCCATTAGGGAGAAATAGCAACTTATGCTCTATGGTACTTTACCAAAGTGACTGTTTGCTCTTTTCCCTTCAATGCCAGCTGGAAGGGATCCACTTGAGGATATTTCACAGTATAGATTTAATACAAGGAGACCGCCTTGCTTTTACTAACACAGACCTGAAGTTTGAGCCTGCTGGTAGTCAGCTCCCATCTCCAATTTCTTAATGAATTTGCAGTCAAGTCTTACACTTCGTGTTGCCCAGAACCTAAGCTCTCAATCTCACAGTAGTTACTGGTTTAGGACTAGGCCAGTCCCATTAAAACAATTCCTGCGTGCATGCAAAACCACACAAGAAACCAGTATTCGCCAGTACATCTTGTGCTTCTGGTAACATAAGAGCCAAACTGTGAGCGTTTCGATTTACAGGTGGGTTAATGATTTCATTGCTACAGCTGAACGTGCACAGATCTGTGAGGAGAGGTGGTGTGCACCTAATCATCTCTGTGCTTTATCTTCAGGGGAGGAAGAGCACCCCCAAACAGCCACATGGATCCTCAGTAAAGAATATCGAACTGTTTATTCTCCCTTTCAGCATTCCAATGAAGTAAAATATGAACACTTAATATTTCATTGGCTGCTCTAAACTTCCAGTTTCAAGTAAGGAACAACTGAGGGAGGAAAATTCCGTGCTAYGATAGCATTTAAAATTCTTATTGCAGGTCAGCTAGTCTTTTGAGGGCAGCTAAAATGAAAATATAGAAAATAAAGGGTTCTCAGATGATCACACATAACATTGGAAGTGAGGCATGTTMCATTTAGCTAAGAAGCTCAACCATGTATTTCTGAGGCAACTTTAAATGATCGTGAAGATTTGCTAGGGATCTAATGCACAAGATGCTGATGAGTTAAAAGAACAGATAAGCCAGGCGGAGCAGCGGGGAGAGCAAGCATGGAGATAGGGCCAAATGACTGTCACCTTGCAGTGCCTGGTGACACAGACACTGCATAGCCCAAGCAGATGATGTAGTCAAGGTCAGCTGGGCTTTTTTGCAAAAAAAAAACAAAAAACAAGCATCTCCACTGGCACAAAGGTAAAGACTGCTTTGTGACCCGATATGTTSTGCAATGACCTCATCTATACCTGATGTGATAAATGTCCAGCTAGTAAAAGAGCAATTCTTAGATTACCATGACATTTTTTGCTGCTCCCCAGAGTATGGGAAAGGCTTTTAACTTTATGCTTCTGTGGCACTTCCAGAAAAGTTTGTGTGGACAGGAAAGCTTAATCTTAATCAAATGCTGATGCAGTCCTTCTCTTTGTTGTCTTATCAGGTGCATGGGTCCCCACATATTAGCAGCGCAGTACAGATACAGCACACATGAACATGTGGCATTGTGTTAGGTGGGACTGATAAGCTCAGTTCCCTAAACAGACTCGGAAAACTTAAGATAATTCATAAATCAAAGAGGTCTGAGAGTCTTATCAAAGCTGACACAGCATGCTGGACAACAGCCATGGAGATTATTATGCCAAAAACATGGTTTAGGAAAGGAAAGAATGTGTTTGGGTTTTGTGGGCTGTGTTTGTTTCTAAAGGCGCTAGTAAAAGCTGGCTGTAGGATTCTGCATTGCAAGTATGACCAAGCAGAACCACCTCCTCAACAGAGAATCAAAGTGGATTTTGCCCAAGTATGAGAGCCAACCACCCCCATCACAGGAAGACCAGGAATTGGGCAAGAGGTGCAAGGAGAGAGCCTGTTCTGCTACCCAGAGAGCTGGGGGATAGATGTGCATCTGGGAAGGCTGCCTGAGGTCTGCTGCAATGGCAAATACTCCCTGGTGTGCACCCAGGTCTTTCCTCGAGTCAGCAGCCATGGCTTTACAGATAACTGAGCCTTGGATATCTTCAGAGAGGTAAAGAAACTGCTGCTGCTGCTTAAAATGCAGGCACAAGATTTCATGTAAACAAATTAGAAGCTTAAATATCTATTTACAGTGTGATCTTAGATTTGCCTAACTGCAGATGCGTGAAATGTCGCACACAGAAGAATCTCTGCTGCGTGGGGGATTCATCTCGCAATTCTGGTTTACCTCAAAAACCTGGTGTAAAAGCATCCCTCTATCAGGTATTTTGGCTCTACGCAGCTCTTCTGCCTCACTAGTGTTGGAAGTCATTAGAGGAATAGTTTGTCTACAGGATATTAGTTTTAGTAAAGCAGACCTCTTCATGCTTTTTCCTGTGTGTGGACTAATCTCATTCTCTGACTGCAGTACATTTTATGTACTTTGCCTTCAGATTTGTAATAAATTATGTGGATATGAGCACCAAATGGCCACAGAAATTAGAGCTGGATGTGTTCTGCTGCATTAACTAGTTACCACTAGGCTAGACTAGATACTGCACATCAGGGAGATGGTATCATAAGCAGTGAAAGAATTTAATTGCAATGATGAATTTAATGCTATGATCTATGATGGGTTTTAGATGCAGCGGTGACATTAGCTACTTGTAGTTACTTCATTGCCTAGCAACCTCAGCACGAGACAGCAAGATCCCAGATGCTTTTGCTCTTCCTTTCGATGCAGGGATGCATCAAAATGCTCCAGCAACCTCGTGGCAAGCACTGGTCACCAAGCTCCCATCAGAGACCAATTCCACAAACTTTCTCAGACTATTTGGCTGCACTATAGCCAAATAGACTTGGGTTTTCAGTTTGGACCAATCTATATATGTCAAGTAATCAAATACACAAATAAGGAACCCGCTTGGGATTTCTTTTGATCTGGGGCAAACCAAACTGCTGGTGGCTTTGCTCCCAGGTTTTGATCTAAAGCGATTGTGGAAAGCTGCTGAAGAGAAGCATTTTAATCAGATTAGAATAGATAAAGAGTATAACCCTTGGTTATACAATTGAGCTTTATAATCATATTAAACTTTAATACTGGCATCAATGCCATATTGGAACAACAATCACAAAAAGCTACAAGCATAAAATATTACAGATCCTTAAACATATTATGAAATGTCATCCACTAATGTTAAAAACGTTATCGTGTTTGGGGAAATGTGCCAACTTGAAAAAAAAAAAAAAAAAAGAGGCTGAATTCCTCTATACATGTGAAGATTAAATGCAGCACAGCAAAGGCTTGACCTTTTTATTTCTTTTTTTTTTTTTTTAAATTAAATTGCTTCCCAGACACCTACTTCTGCCCCAATTATCCACCTTTGTCTGCTGAGTCCTCGTGTACCAAGGTACTAAGGACCCTCAGCTTCTTTTCAAATCAATTAAAGAGGAAGAGTTGTGTCCTTCAGCACCCACAATGGTAGCCTCGTTTTGCCCTGCTGCATTGTATTTCCATTCCTTATTCCTGCAGCGCTGCTGGAAAGAAGCACCATTCTCCGCTGCAGCCACAGGCTTAGCATCCACCAGGACTTTCTAGTCCAAGGAGAAGACCACAGCCATGAATGTAAGGAAAAGGGTGCAGAAGAGATGGTTTATCCTTGTTAAATGCGTGAGTTAAGTGAGTTGGTCTTGGAGGATCTGCATATTTCCACTGCGTTGAGTTTCCTCAGGAGCCCTCTAATTCAGATTTAAGGTGCAAAGGACTGTGCTTGAAAACCACCTGGCATCTTGCCTGCAGCCCGCACGAGATCCTTCCCAGCCTGCGATCCCGGATTCAGGAACCCAGTGCACCTCACAGTGTCCTCCTCATCCTCCAACTAAAGGCATTTATTATCTTTTGGGGGTTGGACTAGATGACCTCCGAGGTCCCTTCCAACCTTAAGCATTCTATGATTCTGTGATCTT